AAAAAAAAAGATAATTATCTCAAAAGCAATATCAACGACAATCACCACAACGATAACAACAATAAAGAAAGACACAACAACAACAACAACAGGTATAGGTTCTATTGAAAGAAAAGTAAAAGGAACTAATAAAATTTTGTTAATAACTCAGTCAAAAATGAAAATGTAGAAGACGCATGTAGAGACAGTATATTAGGGCACATTATGATTATATGCGAGACTTTTCCCTTGCTTTGTTCTTTCATTTATATTTTACTGTTCGTCAACTTAATTGTTTGCCTTTGCTACTTTGTCGAAAATGGAACTTTTGTTTTTTACATTCACATTCTGTTTAATATTGTTTTAAAATAAGAATTTATACAAATTTCTATAATTTTAGGGCACATCAGTACTAAGTGGATACAAGATGGAATTACAGTCGCTGGAGGGCATGGACAAGGAGATCAGTTCAATCAACTCCACTGGCCTGGCATGATCTATTTGGATGATGATAATGAGACAATTTATGTTGTTGATGAAGGAAATCATCGTATCGTTGAATGGAAATCTAATGTAACCACTGGTCAAGTTGTTGCAGGTGGAAATGGAAACGGAAACCGAACAGATCAATTATCTAGACCTACAGCTATGATTGTTGATATAAATAATGATTCCTTTATCATTTGTGACAGTGAAAACTTGCGGGTGGTACAATGGTTTCGTCGAAACGATAGAAATCAACAAATCATCATTGCAAATATTCATTGTTATGGTCTGGCGATGGATAATAATGGAGATATCTATGTCTCTGATGTGGAAAAACATGTAGTAAGCCGATGGAAACAGGGCGATAAAAATGGAATCATCGTTGCAGGCGGAAATAATCAATCCAACAAACTCAATGAACTTTATCATCCTACTTCTATCTTCATTGATCAAGATTATTCTGTTTATGTATGTGATACGTGGAACCATCGTGTTGTAAAATGGTTAAAAAATGCAAAGGTAGGTATTGTTGTTGCTGGTGTAGATGGTCAAGGAGCGAGTGTCAGACAACTGAGTAATCCCAGCGTAATGATTCTCGATCGTTTTGGTAATGTCTATGTAGCTGACTATATGAACAACCGTATAATGCGTTGGTTGAAATTGACAGACTATATAGAAGGTCGAATTATCGTTGGTGGAAATGGAGTAGGTAGCGGCCCAGATCAGTTACAATGGCCCATTGGTTTATTATTCGACCGAAAAGGCAATTTATATGTTAGTGATCATGGTGGGCATCGAGTACAAAAATTTGACGTCGACTTAAATTAAAATTACGCTTATAAATCAACTAATTTGTAATGGTTAATAATCTTTTTGGTAAATTTCTTTTTAATTGATAAACAATAAATTAAACAACAATAATTATAAATTTTTAATATACTATTGAAATAGATTCCTCACGTATTTTCGATTTTACCAAAGGAATCATCATCAGCCATTATTCATATTTTACTAAGAAAATATTTTGTCAAGAACGAAAATTTGAAAATACTTCCCAGAAAAATAGGATATTTGCAACACACAGTACTACTATCGAATGAGGCAAATAAAAAAAAGCTGGATGTAGATGTCCTTTTGTTACCCTCAATATCACCCATACACTCGTATCTTCACCGGCGCAATCTCATCTTTTTTCGCCAAAATAAAGCTAAACAAATGCTTTAAACTAGACATGGAAAAATTTCAGATGGGATACTTGAAGATGAATTTGATGTTGAAGCCAACTAAAGACACTCAATGTGTTTTTATTGTTTTGATGAACATGGTCACGTCGATGACAGTCCTAGCCTAGACTAAGTGTCTTTTCCACCGATAATTTACAAGCTGATTGGTTTATTCTCTTGCTCATACAAAGAACTTACTTCATTGACAAAACCATCATCATCTAATCTGTCTGCTCTTAACAAATATGACTACATGTCAAGAAATTGACGTTAGTATATTCTTCTAGGCTTTTCTTCTCTAGGTTAGATTCTTTGAACATCTATATCGAAGTTACGACGAGAGTCATAAAACGAAACATGAATCTACTCCTCTCTCTATGTCCCCTCGATATTTTTCGAGTCTCATAGGAAGAAATCAAGAAACTTTCGCTGTACTCGCCAGATCTTAATTGCAATGAAAACCATATAGAATTTATTCTAATTTACAGATCTTCTAGTGCTAGATAAAAATATAGGCTCAAACACTTTTAATCACTTACGACTCTTCTCGGATTAGTTGAAGAATTACATGAAATATGTACAATCGTAAGTAAAGAATAAAGCAAATGCCACTATATGTTTCTGTTTATTTCAAACACAAAAAAACTATATTCTAATACATACAAAAAACTAAATTTTCAAACAACACGATAAATTTTGACTAAATAAGAGTTTTGTTTCCAGCTTAATCGAATAACAATTATATTTCGAAACCTCCATATTGCAGGATTCAATTCAAATTCGAACTGTAATCGGCAAAGATTAGGTAACCAGTTAATGAACATTCTCGGAATGACGCAACATTTGATTTTCTTCATTTTTCCATCCTCGGGATGTATTAAAACATGTTTACGACGAATGCCAAATTCTCGAGTGATATCATTGAATGATTCATTTTGAGCTCCTACATCTCGTTTGATAGTTAGATGAGTGAGATTCGGTACATCTTATCTATTTGCTTCCACTATAGTAAAAAAACACTTTTTCTTCCATTTCCTGATACATAATAGGATAAATCTATGTTCCTGTTCAGACGAAATTTGTTCCGATACCGAATCAGACTCAATGAATAATTTAATGTATGTTTCCAAAAAAAAAACTATGGCATTTATCACCAATGCATCTGTTATTATTATGATTAAATCTATATTTGAATTCAAAGAAAATGCATTGAATCGCTTTAAGTCTACGTATCTGATACTGAAATGACGTTAATGTGTTGAGTTATAAGAGCATATAAAATAGAATTAACACGTTAAAAAAAGCCACCTCCTCATACAACTGTCAATTTATTTTGAAGGAAATATTCTGGTAGCATTATTTATTATTTTCTATTAGAGTTATATATAAAAGAATAGTTATTAATAATATTTTTAGAAACTAAAGTGATTCTACGCATTTAACTCGGTTTATTATTTATCATTGATTTTCTTTTGTTGTTTTTAATGTAACTCGTCTTCAAAAAAAAATTTAAATATTCTTTGCCTTATACTTTTCATCAATTATATTATACTGTCATTAATAAAATTGATTAAAAAATGCAAAACTTTGATTTAAATAAAAAAAGAAAACGTAAGTTTCAAAAGAAAATAGAAGAAAAAAATATCTGAAGATCAAAAAGGAAGTGTGAAATTTTGTCAATGTAATTATTTTTACTTCATTTTTAAAGAAGTATATTATACAATTATTTGCGCGCATTTTTGTGTAAAAATAATGTTCGTCTGAGTTTTATTCAATATTTTGACTCATTTACTGAAGAGATCCTCAATGTATAAATGTATAAATTGTTTTCTTTTGTTAGAGAAGATTCATTCGAATAATTAAGAAATATAAAACACAGGAAATGAAGTGTCAAAAGAAGATTATTTGAAGAGGATAGAATGCACAAATTCCGTTGTTCATAAATAGAAATCATCATCTGCTGAGTCACTTTAATGTTTACTAATTTGCATCGGTCAGACAGTTCCATCGAGTGTTGCAATTCGGTTTGCTCCTCGTAATTTAAACAAAATACGGAGTCGTTTTAGTATTTCTTTCTGTTTAGAAAGAACAGCAAATGGCATCAATAGTGGTAAAAGATACGAAAAAGAATTAGCATAATAATATGGTGTCGTATCATACCATGGATCGGTAATACTAAGCATTCCAACCATAATTAATGGCATATTAAATGCTAAAAATATAAATGCAATTGGTACAAGTTGAAGAAACATCTTGCGCGTACGTTTCCATATGTTTCGTTGTGTTGAATGTCTGCTAATCTTATGTCTTTGATAAAGAACGTGTAATATCAATATAAGAATGAAGAAAATCACTAAGAAGGTTGGCAATAGATCAGCTAAAAACCAATCTGTATTTTGAGTCACCGGATCATCAACAGCTTGGTAGCACGAACCATCACATGTGATTTGTGTATAATCAAAATCAGTTTGTGCACATGGATAGATCAGTATTAAATATATATACCATAAGACAGGGAATAGCGTAATGAATATAACTAATGCATAGTACAGAAGAAAACGTCGTTTTCGATTTCTCATAATAAATTGTTTGAAAAATATCGACAGATAACGTTCGAAACAAGCAAATGCCATTAACCATAAATTTAACGAATAGAAGGTGTAATCACATAGGATCCAAAAAGTACAAAATGCAGACGGATCTTTCATAGATTCAATATAATAACAATTTTGAAGATGAATTATAATGATTGGCATATCGATTGAAGTTACCAGAAATGTACCAAGTAGTTGATAGATAATCGTTGTATTGGAGTGATCTCGAAAGAGATATTCACGTAAACGAATGAAATAGTAGAAGAGTATCAAACTGCATAAAACTGATGGAATTTCTAACAATAAGAAGATATAGAAAGTAATTTCTGTTGATATTGATGTACAAGTTGTAGTATCAGTATCATAATCATAATCAGTTTCATTCGAGAAAATTTCGTCACTCATTTTTTGTTAAATTCCAAAGAGCTAAGAAAAATGAAGGAAAGTTATTTAAAATGATATTTTTACAAGTAGAATGAATAATAAATTTAGGCTAAGTAAATGTAAATGAAACAATATTAAAAGAAAACAATGTTTCATTCACTGCTAGTCTCTATAAATAAAAGAAAGAAAGAAAGAAAATGTTGCCGATGAAAATAGAATAACATCATACTGAATTTTCTAAAGAATCTTTCGTTCTCTTGATCGTTTAGATTAAAAAATGAAAAGATATATAAATAGTTTACATTTATAGAAACAACATTAGTATAAAGATTTAAATTTGAATTATCTGATGAATACTGTATACCATCTTTTAAGATCCTGTTTTAATCATGTAAGATTTAATAGAACTACGGATTACAACGTATTATTTTATTCTCTTGTACCACTTACCACTGCTTAATTTTGTTTCACACAACGAGTATAATAGCAAAGTTATTTATGCATATATATATAAAATATAAATTATTACAACAGCTACTATTATTAGTCGACTGTTTCAACTGACAGAGTATCACCTTGTTGTTGTTATTATTGTTCTTGCCTATCAAATTTGTGTGTTTAATGTATACCGGATTACGTTTGTGTTAAAGATCGGTGCAAATAAACACTGCAAAATTCTGTTCCTTGCAACGGACTTACATGAAATTGAGTGCATATAACTTCTAAAATAAGAAAAGAAAAAGTGCATCTCTAGTTCTTATGTTTAGTTGAGAATGTACTATGAGAAAGCTAGTTAATCATATAGAAAAACAATCTTAAAAAAATCTCCTTATTGTCGAGTAATACTTTTGTTGTTGTTGAGCACCTACTTTAACCTATAATATTAATAGGATTAAAAGAGAAAAAAGTTTACAGATAAGTCTTTTTCTAATCATTTTTTATACAAATTTTTAACATATGATTCAAACTCGAGTAAAAATTTTAGAAAAAACAAAAAAGATATAATTGAGCTGTTCACCCATACAGATATTCTTTAAAATCAGCGAGTATTGTATAATAACGTAAAAAATCTATTTTAGATTTCATCATGAATAAGGATAAAGACTTACTGTGCCAAGAGAAGTGACGGACATCCTTTTAAATTGTGTCGTTTTTGTCTATTTCATTAATACGTGATCTTCTTCTTCTCTACTTCCTGTTTCTTTTCTCTCGATATATTTCTCTCTTCTTTCATCTTTATCTATGTCTCACTCCTTGACTTGTCTTTTTTTTCTATCGCTCTTCCATATATTCTGAAAATAGTCAGTTGATAGTTGTGTTGACTTAAATTAATACGTATTATAAAAACACGAAGTGTAACGTTATTAGAAGTTTGACGAAAATAATGAAAATTGTCATGTGGTTAAATTAATTGTTAATGTACTTTAATAAGCAATAGCTTTCGGGACGGCAGCCCCATCATCAGTTGCGAGAATTCTAATTTTAGTTTTAATAACCGAAAATGAAACGAATTATTATATTAATAGTTATCAAAAAACCACACAACTATATTTACTTTTGTCGAATTAATATCAAAATCCTATGTTGTATACGTATCTCGTATATTAATTTCGACTATTAGAAGTTATTCACAATTGAGACTCGAAGATGGAACAGAGTCTGAGCCTTGAACTTTTATCAAGGAAGTTATATAGTGTGTAGTTTAGTCAAGTCAAATATATACATTTATTCTTACTATTATTATTCAATAAACATTACGTTTCCATGCTATCTGAACAATTTACGTCATTTCTCCTTTTATAACTTGTATACATCGATTAGAAGCTTATTGCAAGCAGAAAGAACTGATTGGCTTATTTTATTTTAAATAAATAAAGTGTTTATACGTCGTTGAACAAATATACCTCTATCAAATCATTATTTTATTTCTTCGAAATGGCCAATTCAAGTAAGACAGATAAATTTATTGTTTTTCGTTACACATGTCTTTCGTGTAGCAACAACAACCCAGGACGGTGGTTCCTGAAGCAGGATTCCATGAATTTCCGGTAAAATCCCTGAAGAAACTCGCCATTTCCGATCGGAACTCGTCCGGCTGCCGGTTTTGACATGTTCCTGTCGGTTCCGGTCCGAACCAGATAAATCGGGTCACCGGATTCGTTCAACGGGAATACTGCTTCCATGAAATCTTCGGAATGCCATGGAACCGGCCGTTTCCGTGCCGGATTGTTCGACCTGAGAGGTAAATATAAATATTTTCTTTCACTTAATTATCTTTTACTTTATAGAATTGGGATAATTGGTCAAATTTATTAGCGGAAACGATTATCTTCAAGCATATTGATTCCGAAGATACAGCATCCTTGTCTGAAAAATTTGAATCTGTTCGTTTTAATGATCAACAAACTGTGATTAATCAAGATGATAGTCCCAACGAATTCTTTATTATTGAAAAAGGTAAAACGACGATTTTTTTTAAATCATACATAATGATAATGTTTAGGATTTGCAAATATATATGATCTTGAATATACACAAAGTGATCTAAACAAATATTTGTTGAACTATCAATAAACTTCTTTTTTGTAGCTTGTACTTTCTTTACTAATTAATAAAAAATAAATAAAATAAAAAATAATTTGTCTCTTCTCATTAACCTCAATATTGAAAAAAACAAACTGCACGATCACCTTATAAAGTTCCTTAACAGTTTTTATTTCAGTTCAATTGTTCTCCTCCTCCGCAAAAAAATACAGTCAATGTACACTAAACTTAATTCTGCATCCATCCCAACCGCTTTTCGAGCAATCATAAGTCTAGAGGCGAATATCAGCAGGAAATACTCGAATCCGCTGATAACTTTTACTGGGTTTCATACTTATTATAAACGAATTCTGAAAAAAAAGATGAAAGAAATCAGTCATTAGATCTGGATTAATCGCGATTAATTGAAATCTTTTTTTTATCAGGTGCAAAGTTTTTGTTATATTATCAAAAATCTGACATATATACTCATAACTTATATTTAAATATATTAGACTATGTTTTTAAACGTTTAATCGCAATCAAAAGAATTATTATTAAATTTGATGTCAGTAGTATCGCATTAGTTTGGTTGGATAATCATTATATAGATCAGCGTCTATACTATCCCTCATAATCATTAGTTAATTATGTATAATGTACGAACGTTTCAGCTGCCCTTTGCTGATTATTTTAATATCATATAATGGTTATAACTATGATTTTAACAATCTTAGATTTTTTTCGGCTGAATCTGGAGTTTTGAACTATCAAGTTATGTGTAAGGATCAGAGTTTCAGGATTTTTATAACAAATTTTATTTATTCAAATTCGCATGTCAATTGCAGTATACATATAGTTTTAATTTTAAAATTGAGTTACGTATAATAATACAGAATATTTTCGATATTCTTATATTGTAGATAACAATAACCCTAGTAGTGATGCTGAAAATTAATCTACAAAATCGATATCGTCAGTACAACAAAACGTCGATATTTCAAAAATAAATGAACAGTCTTCATGACAACGTCAATTAAAAACTTAAACTTGTGATATTTTGATAATTCATTATATTCTAGCTATTTTAAAAAATAGTTATTTAGAATACTAGATATTTTGTATGATTTTTCTGTGAACATTTAGTTATATTTACTTTTCTTTCATTGTAATTTCGTACATACTATCTGACTAATTCGGATGTTCTATTATTGATGGCTGTCTTTTTACATCTTCATATTCTGTGTGTATTGTAACTATGATACTTTACCATATCTCTTTATGTGTTAATTATAAGGCTTTTTTTCTTTATCTATTGTATTTATATTTTATGAATGATGCGTGTAGAGGACTATACATCACTTTTTTATAATTCGTTTATTTTTATTATTATTTCTATCATAACGGATGATACAAGTAGTTAATTATTTTCAAATAAAAA